AACCAGACTTGAGTGGCCACTGTAGCCTCCAAAGGAAGAGGAAAGAAGGGGCAGACTCTGTTCCTGGCCACTGGAGAAAAGCAGCATCCAGCAGTCAACGTCTGAGGAGGGCAGAGAAGCTGAAGGCCTTCACAGAGATGGCCCAAGTCCTGTCTCTGGTGCTGCCTGAAAGGAGCCCCACAGGCCATGGGCCTGAGGCCTGGGGCCAGGTCTCAGAGAGCTGTTTGTTGCTGGTGCTGCCCAGCAACTCAGAGAGCTGTTAACACTTGGTGTCTCTGACACTGCCTCTGAGGGACCAGTAGTGACCATCAAGATAGTGCTGTCCAGACTCCTGGTGACCATGACTGACACTCTGGGTGAGGTGACAGCCACTGGTGACTACCGTGAGCTCTGTGTCCCCTGTTTATAAAGTAACCCTCTGTTGTTCCTAGAGCCTGAGGTCTCTTGGATTGTGTGCTCAGGTGAGCCCCTCAGACAGCGAACTGTCCTCTTGTTGAGGACTGGCCTTTGTTAGGCTCTAGCCCACAGGCCCCTACCATGTGGGTGTTGTCTTGTCACAGTTCTAGGTTTTGGTATTTGGCCCTTTGGTCTTTGAGGAGCTTTTTGGCAGCTCTTGCCTCAGCCTGGGCAAGTGGGTGACTGTCCCTTCTGGTCTCCGGCCTTGTCCTGTCTGCCCTGTCTCACTTGGCCACTGTGGCAGGACTGCACCTCCATGGTTGGCCAGCCCAAGGGTCCTCTCCTTGCATTTGTCTCCTTAAGGCACAAAAGCAATTGCAAGGCACCCTGGCAGGATTTGATTTGGGAAACATAATTGAGCAAGTCACAGATTCAGTTGTGAGTTCAGGGGGTTCTGTTTGTCCACCCCTTGTGTTTGCCGCAGGCTCTGTGTTCAACAGGGTAACATACTACTAGCGTTCCCATGCATGTGTAGTTAGAACCTAGTTACAGGTACCAATTTTGGGGTTCATTCCTTGGGTTCCTCTCAGGTGTGGTAGTACAATTTCTATTTGGTGCAAAAGGAGGTGAGCACGACTGTAAAAATGCAGGAGCAGATACAGAAACTACGAGAGCACATGCAGACTGCCCTCCAGAAATCAGAGCTGGGGAGGTGGAAGTCCATTTGATGACCGAGGAAAGGGAGCAACCTTTCCCCGAGAGTGAAATAGGGAGGCACAGAAAGAAGGCCCCGCTCGATGGAAACCCTGAACCCACCAGCAGACACTGCCTCCCAGGTAAGGTCCTAGAGGCAGCGAAGGCGCCATCAACCTCACTGCCCCCAGCAAAAAGACTTACACTGGTCAGCGGCTGGGTGGGCTGGGCTCTGCTCCCTGTTTTCGCCGCGGTGGCGGCCAGTGACCCTGCGTCAGGCCTGTGCCTCGCCGAGGCCCCTGCGCCTAGTGGACATTATTCCGGTGCAAGCCGAGCATTGGGGCTTTCCAGAGCCCGGCGCTGCGCGGTGAAGCCAGAGATGCTGCCAGCAGAGCGGCCACGGGCTGCGCGGCCCGTCCAGAGAGCGGGTCTCGCCAGGTTGGACACGCCCCGCACGCGGCAGGGGCGGCGCAGCTCGCCCCCACCCTCCTCTCCCCCCGCCGTCACCCTCAGACTTGCTGGCGCGAGCGCGGCAGACGGGGCTCCCACCCCGAAGGCCGTGGCGGGGCGCGCGGCTCGTCCCGGCTGTCTCCTCGGGGCTGTTCCGGCGCTTGTCCTATTTGGCGCTTGAATGTGGCGCGGCGTGAACGGGCTTCACTGACCAGCAGCCCCGGCCCTGCCCGCGGCGCCCCGCTGACGTCGGGCCAAGGGAACCGGGGTCCCCCCAGTGGGGCCGCCGCGCGCACTGGCCGGCCCAGGCAAGGAATCCTTTCTTGAGTAGATGTGAATGGTCCCTCGCTAAGTTTTCAAATTTCTTCTCCGTAATCTGCTGCAATGCAAATGCAGGGAAACGGCTCGACAGTGACAGCGAAAGGCGCAGACGAGCAAACGCCTTTCCCCAGACGTGAGCAAACGCTTCGGCCCCTCTGCTTCCTTCCTCTTTCAGCTCTTTTGAACGTGTCTTTCCTTCCCCTCCATCTGCACACACACAC